AAGGATAATGTAGTGTTTCTCTTCTTGATATTTTTAAGATTCCGAAACTACTGCAGTCCTGAATAAAGGATTATGCTTTTACTTTAAAAATTAATAAAACCTTCCAAAAAGCATTCTCGTGGAGAAGACAGACATCTCTGGCAAGTCTCCTGACGTGGCAGATCGGGCAATGTAGACAAGTTGGAGTCCGGGAGGAGCAAATGGTCCTTTGGGTGGCCAAAGCAGGAGCGACAGTGACAACGAGTTTCTCGGGAACAATAGGCCGAGAAGAGGCGAGCGGCCGGTAGCCTAAGGCTAAAATACAGACAGTTCTGGAATGAAGAATCGGTGAAGAGAACTGGCAGAAAAGACGATTGCGGTGCGTGTAACTAAGGCGACGAGGCAGCTGCAGCATTTGGCGACTTGGCGGAAAACGAAAGGAGCGGGCGAGAATGCGAGGCCTCGTGGAAATGTGGCATTGTGATCAGGAGGGAAGTTGGAAGATTAAGGGAAATATTAGTTTTATTTAATTGGAACTAGGAGTTATCGACAATAAGTTTAATATAGTTATTTTCTAACTATACACTTGAGGTCAAATTAGGTTTTGCAAAGTCGATTCTGATAAAGGAGCATCGACTCACTAGGAAGAAAGTCGAGAGATTGTGGAAAAAATTAATTCAATTTAATTGGCAAATATGAATAAATTACAATTATGATTAGTTATCTTCTAATTATACTATAAAGGTCATTAAGAGTTGCCAAATCGATGTTAATAAGGGAGCAGTGTCTGGCCAGTAGGAAAGTCGGCACATTGAGAGAAATATTAATTCCATTTAATTGAAACTAAGATTAATTAATAATAATCTTAATATAGTTATTTTTAAATCATAAAATTAAAGTTAATGCAGGATTTTCGAAATAGATTCTAACTGGGAGGCAGCGTTTGTCCAGAAAGGAAGTCAGCGAATTGGGGGAAGTATTAATTCAATTTATTTAGCAACTTGGAATAATTGACAATAACTTTAATATAGTTATTTTCTAATATTAGGATTTGCAAAGTCGATTTTGATAAAGGAGCATCGTCCCACTAGGAAGAAAATCGAAGGTTGTGGGAAATATTAATTAAATTTAATTGGCAAATATGAATAAATTACAATTTCTTTATTATTGTTATTTTCTAATCATACTATAAAGGTCCTTAAGAGTTGCCAAATCGATGCTAATAATGGAGCAGCGTCTGGCATATTGAGGGAATAAATGGCAATTTTTTAAATTTAGTTATTTTCTAACCATTTAATTGAGTCCAAATTAGGATTTACCATTTCGATGCTAATGAGCAGGTAGAGTATTTTCATGAACGAAATCGGTAGATTGAAGGAATTATTAATTCACTTTCATTTTCAACTTGGGATAATTAACAATAATTTTAATTTAGTTGTTATCCTATCCTACCATATAGATCATTAAGTATTGCAAAATTGATTCTAATAAGGGAATAGCGTTTGATCAGTAAGTAAGTCGACAGTTTGAGGGAAATATTAATTCGATCCAATTTTCGACTAGCCTAAATTGGCATTTACTTTAATAGATTTATCTTCTAACCATACATTTATATGAAATTAGGAATTGCGAAATTCATGCTAATAAGTAGGCAGGGTATGCTTGGCTAGTTAGTCGACAGATTAAAGTACATTACTTTATAATAATTGTATAGTTTTTAAAGCATATTCGATACGCCTGCATCGGTTTCCGATTAGGCCATTTAAATAATTCCTTCAAATTAACTCCTCCTTCGAAATTAGAAGTAGAGTCAAATAGGATGCCTCAGGGCATCTTCGAAACCCCGATTCTCTTCATACACAAAGAGTGGTATCATATCGTCATTCTACACACACGACCCGGTCTCGAATGTATGCAGGCAATCTAGTCGATGTAAGAATAGCTTTTAGGAGTCAATGCTTTTGTGAAGCCGATTCATTTTGTCGTTGGAAAAATGCCACTATCTGTCCTTACTTCACTTTAAACGAACATTGAAGGGCCTTTCTGTATCTTATCGTGACATGTCGAAAATCTCTGTCTCTACGCAATCACAGTATCGCTCAACCCTGACCTCGATCTACGGTCTAATCAAGCCCTGTTATTTAGTTATTCACAATTTTTCATGCCCAATAAGTACCGAAAGTAGTCTCTGATTCCGATTAAACTAAGATTTTCTGGATACATCCTCCATTTAAACGTCATCAAAATTGAAAGACGTGTAATCTAGTGCTTCGGCGAGAACACCACATCGCATGTTTATCAAAGGACTGTTCATAAACCGACTGTAGCATGGCTGGAACACGTTAGATCGCCACGAAAAAGTGCCCGCTGTCAACGTGTCTGAAAAGAGAGTCTTTCAGAACCGTTAAACCAAAGCCAACAAAGGCGGAAGAGGAAATGTTACTTGTGTTGGTCACTTTTTATTCTCTTGACCGGATTGTTTGGTTTCCTTGTGTCCGTTCACATGTTTTGGCTCTTGCCGATAATGCTATGCAATTGAGCACTATTTTTTCTCCTCAGTGTGGCGACACAAACGCCAAGCCGAGGCAGAAAGAAAATATGATTACGCACCTCGAGATGTTGGTTTTTCCGAGAATTGTGTCTACAACCCGGCACAAGTGGACAAGCCTGACTAGCGTTGCGGTGATCTGTCTCCCAGACGTGTGGTAAAGAAGAGTTGACCTGAGGCCAGATTGCTAAACAGAATATCAAATAGAAAATCAAGCATCCTCGCTGTGCGGCCATGTCGAGCTATACAGAAATATGGTGATAATATACATTCAGTCAAAGTACAAGTACAGGTCCGAGCATCATAGACTATTTGATACACTCATTCATGACAAATAAGAAACACAGCAAAAGGCAATTTGATGAAATAGGACTCGGTCTTAGTCCGTATAGTCGTTTTCATTAGAACAGAAATAAGCATTTCGCATGAAATGCCAGCCTACCGACTCGAGACTCATATCTCGACATTGAGGCGTCGTGAAAGCAAAGTAGGCCAAGACTCAAACCTCGGAAATCGGCGTATGCACTCTGATAAAATGGGTCCGGTTGCCGAAAGTATGATTCCATAAATCGAAATTTCAGCCAGATTATCGGAACCCTCAATGCAGAAGAAAGTATTTGCATTCTTTAAATCAGAATTAACACCACGATTTTCACCTCCGCCCGACAGGTAGCCAAAACGGAAAGAGGTTGAGGAACCAGTTTAGCCCGAACGAGAGATAAATTTCTGTGAAGCAAGACGAATTGAAATGTTATGGAGTCATTGTGCGCGATCATATTATTGTGGGAAAACTCCCCTCTAAGCCTTAAATCGACCTTGACAAACCAGGGTGGCTAAATTCTGGACGTTAGCTATTAGCAATATTAGTATTAATATAATATAATATAATATAATATAATATAATATAATATAATATAATATAATATAATATAATATA